GTACGCCCGGCTCTGTGCTCCCCACTCCGGACCTTGCCCCGCCCCCCGCTGCTTTCTTGCACCCCGGCTGTTCCCCCTCCCCGTCCCTTACCCCTGCTGTCACCTCACACTCCATCTGCTCCCTGTGCAGGGACTGTCCTGCGACTACACCAGCTGTCCCCTTGCATCACAGACTATCCCCTCGCTGATTCTCCCCTCCTGCCTCGGGTTCTCCGCTGGCTAAACAGCCTGTCTCCCCACCTGCTACACACACACACTTATGCTGTCCCCTGGAGCCCCTGGCTGTCCCCTCAGATCTTGGACTGTCCCCTTGCTCTACAGGCTGTACCTCTTGGCTCCTGGCTGTCCCCCACCCCCATCTCTAACTCTCCTCTCAGGCCCCTGGCTCTCCCCATCTGTCCCAGCATCTGCCCTACTAGCCGCACCATCCCAAGGCCTTGCCCACAGCAGGTCCTCAGTGCCTACCTGTCACAGAGCAGGATTCCCTGTCCTCCTTCCTCAGAGATGCTTGAGGAGAGGGGAACCAGAGCAGAGGGAGTTCAGCAGCCTCACCCATGGGGACATCCTGCAGTGGGGTGACATAGCCATGAACATCAGACAGATGACAGCCTCAGGGCCAGCACAGCCCACTGTCCAATCCTCAACCAGAGGAAAGCAGCCTCTCCCCACTCTCAGAGGATCCCCTCCAACCCTCCCCTGTCCCCCAGGTCCCCTCCCACCACCAGCCTTCTCTCCAGGGTGGGGAAGTCTCCAGTATCAGGTGGGGCTGTCAGTTGCCACCAACAAACAGAAAGGCCAAGGTGCAAAGAACTTACTGAGTAGCATTGCCCAGCTGGAGAGCTTCTGAGATATGCATCTGGGGACACATCCTATCACAGAGGCCCCCATTCTGAGCTCCTCCTCTCCTGCTTCCCCCAGTAGAGACCAGCAGTGAAACCTTTCCATCCCTGCCCTCCTTGCAGCAGCACGAGGCGGGAGACATGGCTGTGTCAGTGAGGTAAAAACTGAAGTCTGGGGCCGAGCCTGTAGCGCACTCGGGAGAGTGCGACGCTGGGAGCGCAGCAGCACTCCCGCCGCGGGTT